GCCTTGCATACTCAGAATAAATCCCACTTGGAAGTGGTTTATAATTTCTTTTGTACATTGCTGGATTTAATTTATTAATATCTTATTGAGGATTTTTGCATTTATATTCATGAGAGATATTGGTCTGTAGTTTTCTTCTAATGTCTTTGGTTTCAAAATTAGGGTAATACTGGCCTCACAGAATGAGGTAGGCAGCATTCCATCTGCTTCTCTCTTGTGAAAGAGACTGTAGAGAAATGGTATAATTTCTTCCTTAAATGTTTGGTAGGATTCACCAGTGAACCCATCTGGGTCGGGTACTTTCTGTTTTGGAAAATTATTAAATCACAGGTTCAACTTCTTTAATAGATGTAGACCTATTCAAGTGGTCTATTTTTTCTTGAATTTTGGCAAATCATGTCTTTTAATTAATTGGTCTGGTTCACCTCCGTTATCCAGTTTGTGGGCACAGAATTATTCATAGTGTTCCTTTATTGTCCTTTTAATGTCCGTAGGACCTGCAGTGATGTCCCCTCTCCCATTTTTGATATTAGTAATTTATGCACCCCCTTTTCTTAATTAGTCTGGTTATAGGCTTATTGATTTTACTGATCTTATCAAAGAATTAGCTTTGATTTTATTGATTTTTCTCTATTGACTTTCTGGTATTAATTTCATTAATTTCGGTTGTAATTCTTATTTCTTCTGCCTACTTTGGATTTAATTTGCTCTTCTTTTTCTAGTTTCCTATGGCAGACACTTAGATGACTGATTTTAGATCTTTCTTCTTTTCTAAGTATGCATTCAGTGCTTTATATTTCTCTCTAGGCACTGCTTACACAGCCTCCCCCCACATTTTCATAAGTTGAATTTCATTTAGTTCAAAATGTTTTTAATTTCCTCTTGAGACTTCTCCTTCGACCCAAGAGTTACTTAAAAGTGTGTTGCTTAACCTCCACATATTTTGGGTTTTCCAGTTATCTTTCTGTTACTGACTTCTAGTTTCATGCCACTGTAGTCCAAGAGAAGACATTGTACAATTTCTGTTCTTTTAAATTTGTTAAACTGTGGTTTTATAGCTCAGAATGTGGTCTATCTTGCTGCACATTCCACATGAGCTTGAGAAGCATGTGTATTCCACTGTTGCTGAAATATCTAACTTTTAATTACCCACTCACCTCTCGGGTTCATAACGTGGCTGCAAAGAGGAATGAGAAGCTTCAGTTAAGCATGTGCAGGACTCCGGAGCGGAGGATAGAGTCTACGGTAAGAGGGCCAGCAGAGGCGATGTGACAAGAGCACCTACCTGGATACTCTGTGCTTCTCTAACAACCACATTCCTGAGCGCTTGGGGCCTGTGCACGACGCGGTGACCGCAGCTGTCTCAAGGCGGCGTCCCCGTACTGAATACCAGAGCCCATTCTTTCCGGGTCCAGCTCACCTGAGGACCAAGCAAGTCTTCTTTAAAAAAAGCTTTCATGTTTCCATGATCCCCAAGAATATGTTAAGTGAAAAAAAAAAAACAACGAAGTGCAGAATGCTGTGTATAAACAGTTGTTTTGAATAATGAGGAAAAAATATACACATATGTTTTCTTATATGGGCACAAAAATATCTTTGGAAGGAATGAGAATGGGGGGTGTCTGGGTGGTTCAGTTGGTTAAACGTCAGCCTTTGGCTCATGTCATGATCCCAGCGGCTGGGGAATGGAGCCCTGTGTTAGGCTCCCTGCTCATCAGGGAGCCTGTGAGCAGGGAGCCTGCTTTCCTCTCTGCCTGCCCCCCTCCTGCTCTGCTCTCTCTTGCTATTTCTTTCAAATAAATAAATAAATACATAAAATCTTAAAAAAAAAAAAAGAAGTGAGAATAACAGTTGACTTCAAGACGGAGTTTTAGATAGCTCGGGGACAGGAGAGGGCTTGTAATGGAGGAAGACTTCCACTGTATCCACTTTTGTATTTTTAGAATTTGGAAATATATGAATATATTATGTATACAAAGATAAAATTAATTAAAAATTAAACCACAAAGAGACCATTTCCTACTTATCAGACTGGTAAGAACCCAAGTATGATAATGCACCCACCCTGTGGGCATGGCTTCGGTGAAAGAAGCACTTTCATTCATTGTAGTGGGATCATAAATTGCTACAACCATGCTAGGAGGAATCTGACAGTCTCTACCCAAGTTCCAGATGCATGTTCTTTGACCTGGCAATTCCACTTCTGGGAACTCATCCTCTACTTACCCTTCACACAGGGGAAATGATATATAAAAGATTATTTACTGCAGTATTTGTGACAGCAAAATGTTGGCAATACTCCAACGTCCAAAGTAAACTGGTTAAATGATGGCAATACAGACAACTGATATTACACACACTTGTGTGTATATGTGCGTTAGTATACACATGCATATGTACGGAAGTCTCTATGTGTTAATTTGTAACGATCCGTAGGTCCAGTAAGCAGAAGCAAGGCGTAGAATTTATAGTACATGATCTTTTGTGTAAAAAAAAAAAAAAAAAAAAAGGAGGAGGGGTTCCTGGGTAGCTCCTTTGGTTAAGTGATTTCGGCTCAGGTCCTAACTCCAGGGTGGCGAGACTGAGCCCTGCATTGGGCTCCACCCTCAGCAGGGCACCCGCTTCTCTCCTTCCCCCACCCCTCCTGCGGCTCCTGTGCGTGCGTGCTCTCTCTAACCAATAAATAAGTCTTGGAAAAAAAGAGGAAACAGTGGTTTTTGAATCACGTGAATGTACTGCCTATTCAGAAAATTTAAAGTACTGCTGAAAAATTTTAACTTACATCTGTATATTTTCTCACCTAGATGTAATTCTGATTTTGATCTTTTTATCTTGAAGATTGTATATGTAGTATTAAGGAAGCAAGGTAATTACATCAAACCTCGTGCTAAGCTTAATACTACTCAATGCCAAGCCAATTTTAATAACAATGTTATGGAGTCTTTAAAAGTAACAGCTTTTCTGCCAAATTTAGTAAAAAAAATCTTTTTTATTTTCAGATCAAGAAAATCCAGAAGGATGAAGGGTCCCTCTTTTCCATCTGGGCCCTTGACGCTCCCTCCCTGCAGCTCACCCTGCAACCTGCTGTCATCTCCTCTCCTTCCCTCCCACCTGTTTCTCTCTCTCAGCATTCACACACACTAACATTCTTCCATTACCAAAACCTCTTTAAGTTAACCCTTTGTACCCTACGCTACCACTACTTTCCTTCCAGAGAAGAGTCAACACTCACTCTGCCTTCTCACCTCCTCCTTGTTCCTCAATTGCTGTCTTCTATTTTCTTAATTCTACTGGCGTTGAGCTTGATAAAGAAGCCCAACGACTTCCTATTGCCCACCCCAGCGGGTATTTTTCTAGCTTAGTTCTTGGCTTAGGAGACTGTTCTCTACTGCATTTGATAGTGAACAAGTCTTTGACTGTCATTATTTTGGCTGAAATGACAGCCACTTTCCCCCGGTTCTTTCCATACATCTCTCTGACCCTTTCCTACTCCTCTTTTGTAGGTTCCTCTTCTTCTCCATCTCTTGGTCTCCAAGGTTCTGCTTTTGATCAGTGCTCTTCTCACTCTCAACTGCTCTCAGATGATCCCGTTCCTTCCATAGTTTCAACTACTCTACGTACTGATGGTTGACAAATGCACACTGCCAGCCCAGACTTCTCCCCAGAGCTTATGAGATCATTCCATGGGCTTGTGCCAGTGGTACTGCAAAGGGAACACGTCCAGAACAGAATCATCTACATGCCCTTGACCCTGCTTATCCTCTGGTTTAATGACATCTCTTTACCGAGTCACCCACGTGTGACATCTAGTTACCCCCGGCTCCTCATGCCTTCCTAACCCACCTCCTCACCACTCCCCACCCCCAAATCGACCGCCCTGCCCTACTATTCAGCACGAGTCATATGATGCTACTACCAAAATAATTCTGATTCATCTATATCTCTTTGTCTCTACTTCCACATCCTCCTCAAAGCTTTACTCAGTCACCTTTTACTTGGATTACTCAAAAATGCCTTAATTGTGCTGTCCTTTCAATCCTTTCTCAACATGGCCACCCACATACGTGATTTACCTCAAGTCCCAGCCTGACCACACTACTCGCTGCTTAACATCCTTGAATAGCTTCCTGGCCTCTACAGCAGTGGTTCTTAATCTTGGATGAGCATTAGAATCAATCACATAAGAGGGCTTTTAGAAATGCTGATGCCTAGACCATACTTCAGCCCAATTATTCAGGATCTTGAGAGATGGCGCCTGGGATCTGAATTTTCAAGCATCCCAGGAGACTCTAGTGTACAGCCCGGGTACAACTCAGTAACCCACAAGATGAAGTTCCAGATCCTTGATGAGAATCACTAGGCTGGCTGCCACCTCTCTCCAACCTTCTCACCTGCCATCCCCACAGGAGTCTCTCTGGTCCAGTGACTTTTCTTTCTGGTTACTTTCAAATCATGCTGTCCCCTCGGCGGGACTACCCCACCCCCTTAGCCAGCTCACTCTTCCTCACATTGTGAAAGACTGAGCTCAGCTGTCCCTCCTCCTGGAACCCTCCCAGACACTACCTCCCTGACCTAGCTAGGCAGGTCCCCCTTCTCTGTGTGATCCCAGGATCCTATGCACCCCTCAGTTGTTATATCCACCACACTGTATTGTAGTTATTTTTTGATGTCTCCTATGAAAGACAGTTTTCTGAGGGCAAGGATTATGATTAAATCATTTTTGTATCCCAGCACCTGACAAAGAAGAGACATTCAGATATTTGATGGAATCAATTAAAAAGTAAACGTCTACATATAATTTCAGTAATATTTAAATAAAACTCAACTTTAATAAATGACCATTACATAGTAATTATCTAAATTTGGGTTATTTTAAATTTATTTTTACCGAAGCAACAAATACAACAATAATGAGACAGGTTACAACCGAGGCACACACTCAGTTAGCTTCAGAAATAAATTCACGATGCCCAAGCTGGAAGTATCCACATCATGCGTGTACCTGTAACTCCCTCAATCTCACCCAGGCGGTCCCCCATCACACCATGGGACCACTGGCCCAGGAGGGCCAGCAAGCTGTTGACAGAGAGTGGACAACAACCCCACCTTCCTCCTCTAAGCAATGGACCCACAAAAGGCCGTGGTTCTGAAAGCAAACACAGGCGGAAACCCTGCCCATTCTCTTTCACCAATGGTGCAAGGAAGCCACTAGGAAAAAGGGGTGGGCCTTTGCCTCAGCCACGCGGACGAGACCTTCAAGACCGTAAGTGGCAATTTTAGGTTGGCAGGTATAGAGAGGGTGCTCTTTGACCAAATCACTCCTGGAAAATTAAAAAGTGGTACTGTTGAGCTAGAGAGGAAAATATGCTGAAGAAAAGTTTATCAATGGAAAGCCTTTTACCTGATTCAATTTTGTTAAGTATTTTTCTTGCACATTGTACAAAGGCCTCTTCCACATTCTCCCCCGTTAGTGCACTGGTTTCCAAGAACATCAGCTCTAGAAGTGACAGCAAACAAAATGTGAAGCTACATTTAGAAGGTGACCACAGCTCAACTCCCGACGGCCTGCTGGGCGTTCTCTTCCCACAGCAGGCAAATGGACTCTGTTACTTCAAAACCACATATTTCTGTAAATACAGCATCAATAAATGTCAATAAGTTTTTTTAAATGTTAGCAGAATTCTAAGCCCCTCTCAGCAGTGACAGGTGTCTCGCACTGGCACTCGGTGGTGGCAGATGCCGGGCCGGCCCGGGGCCCGCTGAGGAAGCAGGCTGCCTGGAGACGCCCAGCTGTCGGCAGGAGACCCGAGTCTCCAAAAACTCTTCACGTCACCACAGATACAACTGACACGGAGGGTGGCTACGCTGCAGCTTGTCATCCTGACGGTGAAGAGGTCCTCTCTGGGTTCATACTTTTCTTACCCACCAGAGCGGTTACCAACCCAGCTGAAAGGCGGGCTCTCCTGGCTTCTGTACATCTAAATGGCTTCTTTACAAACTCACGACAGCTTACATTCTTCTCACAAGCTTATTTTCTTAGCATAAAACTGGTGGTTTGCAAGAATGGAATTTGGTAGTCCTAGAGGCCAACTGAAAATCAATACTAGGATATTGTAATTCTTGACTGGTTCTAAAAATTAAAGTTCTTTAAAATGTCTGAACTCTGATCATTCTGTTACCTATAAGCAACCATTAATTTTATGTGTCATTCTCTGGTTTTCTACATGGAAATTCGGAGAATTTTTGAAGGCATATAACCAAATGACTTAAATTTAATTGAAGTAAAATAAAACCCATAAGCCCAGTATTTCTGCCACTGCTTTCCCCTTCTATTTAGAGCTAATGTTCCACCAACTTAGCTCCAAATTACATTAGAAAACAGGACAGGACATCGTGCGATTAGGGCCTTTAAAAATCATTACAAACTTCACTTCAGACCAAGGCCTGTGCTCAGACCAAAAAGTCATTACAGAGTATTAGTACACTGGTCTTTATCAACATCATGACTTTTGCAGGCAGAATGCAATACAGTGAAAATAGGCTAAAGACACCTAACTTCACTAAAAACACCAAGAAATTTCACTTTTCTTGAGTACCATTTAATCTTAAAATTCCAATAATGTAAATTCAAAGCAATGTTATTACCCCCAAATCTGCCCATTTGAAACGCAGTTGTATAGGTAAAGGGTCACTTGCCATTTTCTTGAGCGAATCTGGAAGCTTCTAAGAAAGTAACTTCACGGTCGGCGTCCAGGTCCTTCTTGTTCCCACAGAGGATGATCACAATGTTCTGACTCGCTAGCATTCTGGCATCTGTTAACCAATTAGTAAGCGCATTGTAGGTTTCTCGGCTGCGTAATATAAGATTGTGAAAACAGTACATGTATTTTATAAGACCAGCAACTCTTTCCAGTCATTCACACTACTCACACGCCACTTTTGCACATGTCAGGGTAAAGCCGACAAGCTTGAATTCAACGCAGGAAGCCTGAAGGCCCAACCACACACCATACCTAGTGGGGCTGGACTGTTCTGTTTCCAGAAAAATGAAACCGCGAGTCAGAGGTTTTGCTGTGTGTGTTTGCCCAGTCAAGGTGCAAAAGGAAACAGACATTCATTTACTCATTGTACAAATATTTACTGAGCTCTTAACTCCAAGCGCCACTATGTGCAACATGGGTAAGCAAGATGGGAGAGCCAACCACTGCGGGTGACCAGCCAGTCACCAGCTCTGTGCAGTGCGGTGGTACTTTGTTTTGTAGGATTTATCACATTCTTTCTAAGGGCTCTGTGACATATACTCTAACTTCGCTTTTCCATGAGAAACCTGAACCCAGAGAGTTTAGTTAAGTTGCCCAAAGGCACAACGGCAGCCAGCGGCAGAGGCAGGGCTTGCCCAGGTCTGTTGAACTCCAGGAGATCTGTTTTCAGCTCAGACACACCCGGGGATACATCCGCCCTGCCGGCACCCCTAGACAGCCTCATGACCTCACTCATGAGCAGGCTGAGCCTTTCACCACCTGAGCAAGTGCAGGGGGACTGGGCCAGCAGCTGCCCATCTCCTGGCCAGCGTGCCTCATCCTGAACATGCAGACGGGGGTTATGTCACAGCACAAGGGTGACCCTCTTAGCTGTGCAAGTTCCCACCCAGACAGCCACCAGACGATAGGGCAGAGATGCTGTTTTTCAGGTGGTGTCAGCAAACACTGAGGTTGGTGCTGTCTGCTGGGACTTCTGCAAGGACGAGAATGTTCTATGACCTGTACTGTCCAATACAGCAACCACCAGCCACGTGTGGGCACTGAGGACCTGAGATGGGGAAGTGAGACCAAGGAACTGACTTTTTAATTTAATTCGTGATATGTGAGTGACAGCTACACACGGGACAGCGCACTCAGATTCTTAGCACGTGCCGAGAGCTTCACATTAACCAATTTAACAACGAGAAACTCTCGTGAATGTAACACAATCAGCATGACTGCATATAACAGGGAAACTGAAGTCCAGAGAGTGAGAGCACCTTGCCCGAGGACATCACACAGCTACTGACCTGGAACTGAGACTTGAACCCAGGCAACCGCAGGGCAGAGCCTGTGCCCTCAACGCTCATCAGTGTCCATTACTTCTACTAAATGACCACGTGCAAGCTTCCCCCCTGTGAGCCTGGAGGAGTATGTCAAAGCACCATGCTAAAAGACACACACCCCAGGAATGCTTTATGTATCTCGAACCTCACCCGCAGATTTCTTGACCGGGTAAGCAGGGGGAGGGCTTGCCTCCATCGCCTCTAAGACCCCAAACGAAAGGGCTGAGGGGATTCCAGATTCCCAGCCACACAGCACACACACGACACGCAGGTGCACCTCGGGAAGACGGGACTCGGGGAGCAGAGCCCCCAGCTGCATCTCCCACGGGGGAGTGCACATTACCTGGTGATGTCATAGACGAGGAGAGCTCCTGCGGCGCCTCTGTAGTAACTTCTCGTCACAGACCTGAAAGAATCACACTGCTTTGACTTCCCGCCAATCGAGACCCTTCCTACTGAGCACCATCACCCATGTTTCTGGGTAAACCTCGACATGGGGATAGATGTTGCTTCAAACAGAAACGGTTCAGACATCTGAGTGTAAGGGGGCTCTTCTGTCTGAAATTATGTCACAGAAACGCTGGGGAGGTGGGGACATTAGACTGAGACAAATAGGACATTTTCGAACAGGGAGATGAAGCTCTCCCACAGAACTTGAGGTTATCTTTGAACTTAGCGGGAGAGGAGAAGCGTTCTGTAGAGCTAGGTGGCCACTAAGAACTCAGCCATCCTACTCTGCTCCCTCTGGGGTTCCAGGCTCCTGCACAGCTGCCCCCCACTCTTTTCCAGGGGAAGTCCTCAGACGGGAATACGCTCATCTTCCAACCATGAACCCACAGCCACCCTCGCCCCTCAGTACTTCCCTCCAGCCCATCCTAGCTTACTGCCAAGGAAACAGGGCTTTACCTAGCTTACCTATCCGCACCGAGCGCCTCCGAGCATCTTAGCTGTTCTCCAGTCCTGCGGGTTAGTTTCACTAACACTTGCTCCTCTGCATTATCAGTCTCTTCCTCTTCATTAGATATTTTCCCCATTAGCAACATAAAATGTGCTCTGATACCTCCCATCTTAAAATACAAGAAGATATGCAGCCCTGTCCTTCCAGAGTTCTTCTCTGGATCCAAAGTCCTCCGAAGAGTCATCTTTGCCTGCTGTTTCCCTCTCTTCCCCTCCTCTCCGGTGTCTGCCTCCCTTACTCTGCAGCTCTGAGCCCAGTGGCATTTCTTGGTCCTCACCCTACCCTGAACGCCTCCCTCGTTCCACCTCTACAGCCACAACGGCCTCCTCTCTCACCGGCCAGCTCTCCTCCTTGAGCTCTGGGTCACTCTTCCAGGCCTGCCTTGTTTGTACTGGAGCTCCTCAGTGCTGGGGCTCAGTCCCGCGTTCTCTTTCGTCCTCACACCTTGACTCCAATGTCCTCTTCAGCCCAGACTACTTCTGTAAGATCTGGCCATTGCCCCACTGTCTCCATATGACTGCCTCCTGAACATGCCCCATGTCACATTTGTAAGACGGAACACTTTGGTTCCCAGGCTGCAGGTCCATCCTGGTTTGGGGCGGAGGAGGGCACCACCAACCCTCTGTTTATACCAGAACGCTCCGCGTTTATCCTCGCCTCCTCTTTTTGCCCATCTCCATGCTGGACCCACGAGTCGGTTCTGTCTCACGAACAGAACACAGACTATATTGCGCAGGTCCTGCCATCTTCATCGGTGCCATCATAATCCAAATCACCGAGTCTCCGGCTGGACTCCTGCAGTCCCTGTGCCTGGTGGCCCCACTACCATGATGTCCCCACTGCCACTTGTGTCCCTCGGTCCATTCTCCTGAGCAAGCCAATTCCTCATCAAGACCTACAATGCTCCTGGTGCTCGGGGGCTGGAGACTGAGTTCAGTCTCCAAGGGGCAACGATTTAATCAGTCCTGTTTACCTCCGGAAGCCTCTATAAAAAAACCCTAAATGATGGAGGTCAGAGAGCTTCTGATTCGTGAACACTTGGAGGGAGAGGAGTGCGCCCACAGAGGGCCTGGGAGCTCAGCACTCAGCTCCCACAGCAGCGCCCAGTGCAGCTCTTCCATTTGGCTGCTCCTGGGTTCTGCCCTTTGTGATGATCCGGCAGCAGTAAATATACGGCGCTTTCCCAAGTTCTGTGAGTCACTCTAACAAACTGCTGGGCCTGGGAGATGGGTCCTGGGGCCTGTGACTGGTGTATGAAGTGGGAGTGGGTCTGCGGGATGGCACCCTTAGCCTCCGCTGCTAACTCCAGAGAATCAGAACTAGTTGAATTGTTGGCCACAGACTTGATGCTGGAGAGCTGAAGAACTGGTATGGGAAACCCCGCCCCCCTCATCGGGTGTCAGAAAATGGGCACCACAGAACATTGCTTCCCTTCAGGGTGAGAAGAGAACTGGGGACCTTATCAAAAATAAACAGAGGGACTCATTACGCCTTCGACACTTTGAAAAGAGCAGCTCTTTTTAAATGTATTTTTAGCTCCTAAACTCCAAAGGCAGATAGGGCGCCTGAAGCTTCCCTTTTCTACCTCTAGACCGCTCTGCAGATGGGCACATGCTTTAAGAAATGGCAGACAGGCGCCGTGTGAGGAGGACTGGATTGCGAGTTCTTCCTGCGGTTCCCTCTCCAAGTTGGAGGGAGGCTTCTTTTCCACATATGTGAAGAGGCAACTTTTTCTCTATTTTAGTTTCTAGAAACTAGCAGGTTTCTAGAGAAAGAGGTATGTAAGAGTTTCCTCAAGAGAAACTAAGTTACACCCATGCTGAGTCGTTGACTTCACCGTCATTTATCTCACCTTGACACATGCCATTTGACAAATTATTCAGGTATACAAGCTAAATGCTTAAGAAAAGTACTTTTCTGAGGTATTTAATTTTCTCAAAGTAGTTTAAACCAGAAGTAATACAGCCACCTAGTTTGAAAAGCAAAGACTGCTAACGGGCCCAACGCTGCAGTCTGCAGTCTCCTGCCGCACTCTTCCCTGGAGCCCCACTCCCCGAGGCCATCTTCAGATCTGATTTCCTAAATGCAGTCATTGATGGAATACATGGTGAACGTCCATGTGCTACATTCTACCCCGGGCTTTGGAGAAGCAACAACAACAAAATACGAATGTGCCTACTTTCATGGATCTTAGTTTTGTCTTCCTGGTATTTGCTTCCATCTTTCTATAAAACGCTTGCGAAACCATTTGACTTATGAGTTTCAGGGCTTACTGCCTTCCTGCTTTGACGAGAATCTAGCTCACTCGTATGCTCCCAGCCCCTTCCCTGCATCTCCTCCTCCTCCTGCCCGCAGCACCTTTGCCTGACGGCCGCGCTGCCCTGTCCCGGCTCGCCTCCCCAGCCGGGTCCCCGGTTGGCTGGACTTCACCTTCCTCTTTCAGCGTTTACTTCCTTGTGTTGACGAAGTATCTCCTCCTGTAACGTCTAAGAATATGTGAAAAGATGGCCTTTGTTTCCCCTATTCTTGAGTATCTATAGCTCTTCTGCCTTAATTCTCACACTTGATGGACAGCTTGGCCAAGCCTGGTGTTTCAGCTGGAGAGGAGTTTTCCACGCGGAGTTCGGAGGGCAAGGCTTCCGTGCCTTCGAGCTTAGGCAAGTTGCTGCGTAACGGTGTAATGCCATTCCTCTTGCTAGTCCTTCAGTGGGACTATTTCTTTTTTTCTTGGGATCTGTTTGCATCTTCAGTTTGTCCGAGTCCTCCACAACTTCACATGATACATACTGGCTGGGACTGTAGACCCCTCCACTCAGGTAGTGGGTGTGAGGTGGGCCCGGTACATCGGGGATCTCATTTCTTTGGTGGAAAATTACAGTGAGTGGGCTGTTTTATTGAGGGGACCCAACACGTTCATATATTTGGCCTTTCCTCTGGAGCTATTCATTTTTCTAGAGAGAAAAACTGTTTCCCTTGCCTGAGAACACATACACACCCGGATGCCGGCAACCGGGAAGAAGTGGGGAGAGGCCTGGGGTTGCAAACTTGCACAAATTTCCCTTTTCTTGTCCTTCCCTCATCCCTGCCCTCTGCTGGCCTTAGAAATTCCAAGTCCTGACCCTATTTCACTCACACTGAACTTCTCCTGTGGGTGCGTACACAGGCAGATATAAACACTTTAACCCTCCCTCCTGCAGAACCCAAGGCTTCCACATCTTGACCTTTTCTGGGACTCAGCAGGAGGATGCGGCCCCCGCTTGCCACCCTTCCCCCATGACAGGCCCTGAAGATGTAGCTCCCTCTGCTTTCAGGCACTCAGCATCCATTCTGGATCACTGACATTTGGGTTTTTTGGGGGAGGAATCGCTTCATCATCATTATGTACTCTTGCTTTCTAGGTCTTTGTGAGTAAATGCCATTTCAATTGTTTTATAGTCATTTTAGTAAGGGTTTGGGGGGAAAACACATTAAGTCTGGCTTGAATCCACAGTGTTGAATCAGTGGTTCCAGAAGAATAACTGTGATTAAAATTTTTTGAAGCAATTATTGACCATTTCAAATACAATATACACCTGACTTTAATGCTACCAATGAGAATGAGTTTTACTTAACTAAGTTTTAAAACTGCGTATCTGTTCTGTTTTGACTTTGAGTATCTGTTCAAAAACCACAACTAAAATCCTAATCCACTTCCCTGCTTTAGTAGTTACAGAATATTAAACATGGAATCTCATCTGCAGTGATCTGGGGTCATCCTTCCAAACACCAGTCATGACTGTGGTGTAACGAAAATGTGCAGGACAGAATATTTGGTGGGATGTGTATCAACCAACAGAACATGCCCTACTTAATATAAAACAAAACAAAAATGCCAAAAGAGGTTTTTAAAAATTCTCCTGTAAAAGTGAAGAGAACTGCTGTGCTATTACTTTGCCTTCATTTCAATCTAAAGTATACTGTAGAGTACACAATACCACACCCTCTAATGCACTCACTCGTCCCAAAGAATAAATCAGCCTCTACAGGAGAGTGCATTCACTCGAGAGACTCTAATGCATTCTTTAGTAAATCAATGCTGCATGGAGAAAACTTGACTTTTGGCTTGTCTTAAAGCTTCCGGAGGTGAAGTTTCTGAAATCGTTGCTGGGAAGGAGGAGACTATATATATGTATACATAAAGAGACTACAATTGGTTATTTCAAATCCAATTTTCAAATATTTTTATTACATTAGAGAGAAAGCTACCTGAATCGTTCTTGGCCTGCAGTATCCCATATTTGTAACTTTACATATTTACCACCAACATTTATTATCTTTGAACCGAATTCCACTCCTATTGTATGATTTGAGTCATCTTTGACTGTAAAAGAAAAAGAACAAGATATTTAATTTGAGAACATTAAAGAAACAGACTTATAGATTTAAACAAGCAAAATCAAGGGTTAAAGTCAATGGAAATGTAATTTACTGTAGCCTTTCATTTTTCCAGTGGTCAGCTGATAAGAAGCACACACTGTTTTAAACAGAATACACATACAGTTCCTACTCTGGAGGAGATGATAAGGCTCTTTCACAAAACCCCTAGAGCGAGCCATCCATTGTAAAGCCTAGGCCTGGAGGTGGCCATGCCACAGACAGTCACAGCCACCTGTCTGCTGCAAGGGCACTCACACGTGGAGACAGCATAAAGTACCTGGGGGCCAGTCTGAAGGGCCGACAGCCCAGTGACAGGTCTGTCACTGAGGTGTGACTCTGTCAGTACTGAGGTGGTGACTGTCTCCACTACCTGAATGGATAACTATTCCAAAGAAATAAAAGGGAAGGAAAAGGACTGTAGCCCCCAAAAGGAACTTGACGGACACCAAAGATTAAAGGAAAAGGAGGAAAAGATAGACAAAATAAAACAAAACCGAATAACAAAAATTCTGAACACATCATAGCTGTTGAGTTTCCATGAATTTGCAGGTTGTGTGACAGTAATTTGGAATGAATTTGTTGGAGAAGTCAATACTTTCTCTACTGAGAGACAGGTAAAAAGAGCAGCTCACTAAACCCACCCGGAATGAACGGTCTGTGAAAAAAGCCCTTGTGGGGGATGAAGTGCCGAGTTATCACTAATAACATGGCTACACAGCCCATGACTGACCTACACTTCTTAACCGTAGGGCAGAATCTAAGTGTGCTAGAAATCACCAATGCCACTTGAGGTGTGCTGAGTGTTTCCTGGGGCCAGGGGTGGGGGACTGACCAGTTAATACTGACCACACCAGCCTGTCCCAGAAGATGGGGAACTAGTGTGGACATTCTAGAATTCAAGCTAATGAGAAACCTCTGAGTAAAAGCATCAGAAGGTGATGGCTGAAGTCCAAGGGCGTCCTGATTACAGTACGGCCACAGGACCAATCAAGTGGAGATCTTCCCATCATGCACAGACCATGCAGACTAACCCAACACACATGTCGCCATGGTAAGGAGTTAGGGGTGGACTGTCAAGGGAGAGCTCGCCACAGGGAGCGGACACAAAGATAGGCAGGTGGGTTCTGCACCCAACGTCCTTGGGGCACTTTTTTCTGAGATGCTACAGTGCAGTCTTGGCACCTTGTGAAGAGACCTGGACCGCCCAATGAGGAAATACTTGTTACATTCACTGAGGATTGGCTCTGTGACTAGCCCGTGCGGGCTCCATGTCACGAGACAGAGGTCCCAACAAGCTCTTGGACAATGAACACAGAAGTAGCAGAATACGTTCCTATAGTATTTTTCAAAGCTCCTTGCCAAGGATTCCCTCTGCTGTCTGTTTCCCCATGTGACCCATCACCACTTAGGTGCACATGCAGTACGTGAAATTAATTATTTTTTGTGTCTTCACCCGATTGCTGTGAAATAGGTCATCCTCCACAATTCTGCCCATGATTGTAAAAGCACTGTTCATTTTAAGGGTCTTTCAACTTACAAGTCTTTGATACTACCTTGGAATAAAATATTCAACTTCCCTTACCAAAACAGTGTAAGTCAATGGCAAAAAGACGGGTCTGTGGTCAAAAGACCTAGACTTGAGTCTGACCAACTCTAGGGTACATTCCCAAGGGCACACACCCAACTGCTCTAAACCTGTTTCCTAAACCTACAAAACAGAACCAATGACAATAACCACCTTCACTACAGTACAAGGCCACCAAGGACCCAAGAGGACTCTTATCTACAATGTACTATTCGGGCTTCCTGGGCGGCTCCCTGTCAGGGCAGGAAAGTCCTCTGTGGCCTTCCGCCTCACCATGTTGTATTTTGATATCTGGAATGTATTAGAGTATCTGGAAAGTGTACAATATGATAATATATTGAACAATGAACCACCATAAAACAGAAATAACTTAATAAAAAACTCAGTCATACTGCTAGAAGCTTAATATAAACTTTTAATATGATTTTAACATACTTTTAAACTATAACTTTTTTCTTGAAATAATGTTCAGAAGTTTTGCTATAAACAAATTTGAGCAAGAGAGCACTCTCAGGGGAAGACATGCATGAAACACGGACCATCTGATGTCACTTACATTTTTTTTCTATAAACTGATGAAGCAAGCAAGACTTGCCAGTTCCTGCATTTCCAATAACCAAGAACTTAAACAAAAAATCTGAAAAACAAAAAGAGATCATGAAAAATAAGTTTAAAACATGTGCTACAAATGTATCCTTAGACTATGATCAAAAAAAGTTAGCAAAATCTTACTTGTTAATATAACAGAAAAAAGAGGCAACTATTCTGTGAAAACAACAAAAAACATGTCAACTCATCTTTTCACCTTTTTGGTATTGGGCACATATGGTTTTCTGAACTCCACTCTTGGGAAAATTTCCTTTGATATCGGAAGTTTGAAGACTATTCTTGTAGTGAACAAAATCTGTCCCTTTGCTAGTCACTATTCAAAGAAATATGTATAAGCAGTGACAAAAACAGTCTAGAAATTTCAAGAGTTTTCTGTATAAAAGAAAAACGCTGGGAAACTTCTAGGCTTTGAGAAATCCACTCCCTTCTTCTTTTTAAAAACAGGTATGTTTCCCCCACCCCTGAAGATTTTTTGTGGTCTCGCTTCTATCCCCTTATCTGTAACTTGTGGGAAGGACAGCTTAAGCCAAGTCTGGGTCAGTATTCGAAGTGGGAAATTTGTCTCATTCAGTATAGAAAGAATTCTTCCTTTCTTCTTTACACAGAGTAATATATTTAATTTGGAATATTATTTTCCATATAATGGAAACAAAGACTCTCCAGTAAAATTTTAATTAAATTAGCATGATGTAGCATCAGTAGCCCCACGTGGCCTAAATGATTAATTTTGCTTCTTCTGTTAGCAAAGAACTTTAGTTCTGCTGAGACCAGGAGCTGCAGAGGACCCACTCCCTCCCCCACCCCTCACACCTTGATCAGAACCCCACCATCACGAGCACTCCCATGGCCCCCACACCCCGATGCTGGACTGACTCATTCTGTGGCCCTGAAGGCCCTGGTCTGACCCTGGTTCCCTGGTTTGCACCTGTGAAAGTGTTACCTCCACACACCTTTTCCAAACCTAGACCAAGCTCTCCTGGCCCTGGCTCCTCTCTCCCTGACGTAAGTCCAAATGGCCTATTTCTTTGCTGACATTCAGCCTAGCCTGTTTCTTCAGAACTACATCCATCGTCACTCAGAGACAGGGCCTATTTAACCTCTCATGATTTCCCATGGTTACAGGCAATAAACCTACAGGACAAGGATATCAGAATTGTCAGCATTTAACCATAACAAGTTTTACGCTTCTTACCGCATCATTTTAAAGCATGCCCCATTCATGATCACAGCAGCCAAAAAGAAGCAACCCATTTATAGATAAATGGATAGACAAAATATGGCATAAACATACACTAGAATGTTACTCAGCCTTGAAAATGAGGAAATTCTGACACATGTCACAACAAGGTTGACCCTCAAAGACATTAGCTAAGGGAAACATTCCAGTCACAAAAGGAGAAACACTGTATGATTCCATTTATATAATGTACCTAGATCAAATTTGGGGACAGAAAGTAGAATCGCGGCTGCCAGTGCCTGGGGAAGGCGGGGAATGAGGAGGTATTGTTTAATGGACATGAGTGTCAGTGTGAAAAGATGGAAAAGTTCTGGAGATAGATTTTGGCAATGGTTGTCAACAATGTGCATGTCCTTAATACAAATGAACTGTAGACTTAAACATGGGGCGAGTGGCAAATCTTATGTAATTTTACTACACAGGCACATGAAACAAAACAGGCCAAATCTAATCATGTTCACTGAACAGCTTTTATAACCTAAGAAATCAAAGGTTAAGATTGCCAGGTTAAAATGGAAATCCTGGAATTTCTCAGTCTTGTTCGATATCTTCTTCTATTTAAAATATAAAGCCCAATACATTGTAAAGTTGCCCTTGAATGACTATGTGGTTCCATATACATTAGAATTTTTTACAGGACAGTACTGTACCTGTATTTTCTCTTCCTTGTAATTTTCTTTCTTTCTTAAAAAAAGATTTATTTATTTATTTGAGAGAGAGAGAGAGAGAGTGCGCGCTCACAAGAAGGGGCAGAGGGAGAGGGAAAGACAGAATCTCAAGCAGAATCTGCGCTGAGTGTGGAGCTCAATGGGGGGCTCGATCTCACGACCCTGAGCTCATACCTGAGCCCAAACCAAGAGTTGTACACTTAACTGACTGAGCCTCCCATATGCCCCTGCCTTGTGACTTTCTTTAAGGATTTTATTTATTTATTTGAGAGAGAGAGAGCGAGCAAAAGCAGGGAGGAACAGACGAGAGGGAGAAAGAATGTGAAGCAGACTCCACATGTGTGTAGAGCCCTGCTCAGGGCTCAGTCCCACAACCACAAGATCATGACCTGAGCTGCAACCGAGAGTGTGACGCTTTACTGACTGAGTCACCCAGGAGCCTACCTCCTCGTGATTTTCTTAATAGCATTTTATTTTCTCTAGTGTGTTTTGTTGTAAAAATATGTTATATAATACATCGGAAATATGTGTTAAGTGATGGTTTATGTTATCAGTACGGCTCCAGACAATAGTAGAATATTAAGAGTTAAGTTTTTGGGGAGTCAGAATTTATATGCAGGTTTTCAACTATGCAGAGGTTTGGTGCCCTTAACCCCTTTGTTGCTCAAGAGTCAACCATAGAAGTTGCCAACAGAAAAAGGTGAAGCCAAATAAAGACGCTGCCAACATGTAGTGAGCAGCAAATACTGAGAATGAAAAGAATTTCTATATGCAAATGGAAATATTTCTTGTGTTTCGTATGTATACAGAAAGATGAGTGTCACAAATCTATGTGCTCTTGGAACAAAACTCACATATCTAGACATGGACTTTGGCTTGATTCTTGTTCCACTGTTATTTTCTGCTTTAGAAGTTTGGCTTAAATGCACTTTATTATGGTAACTGTTATCTAGATTGTACCAAAGCTCTAACAGACAAAAGAGTAACATATCCACTGAACTGCACCTTGCTGGGCAAAAGACAAGGAAGACGTGTAGTTTCCATATGTTAAAAATTCCTCCAACAAACTTTTTAAAAGATTTGTTTATTTATTTGAGAGAGCAGGGGGAGGGGCAGAAAGGGAGAGAATCTCAAGCAGACTCAGCCGCTGAGTGTAGAACCTGATGCGGGGGTTGATCTCATGACCCTGAGATCATGACCCTACCTGAAACCAAGAGTCAGATGCTTAAGCAACTGAGCGACCCAGGGGTCCCTCCAACAAACTCTTCATACTCTACATCTTGTAGCTCAAACAGGTAAGTATTCGTACTTTAGTAGAAAATCTTTTTGTTTGAAAACCCTTTTGGGTCAAACATCCAGAAATGCTGGATAAAATACACATTAAAAAAAAAAAAAGCATAGCTGAGCTTTTAGGAAAGAAAGGAAAATTCTAGATGCTTAGGAAAGAGAAGAAACAGAAAAAAAGCAATAGGGGCCCAGATGTGTCAGTATTGAGTGTAAAATGTGTACGGGACAGAGCATAAGAGCTTGTGCCCATGTGAAGGAGGGAGTAGAGAGCTAACTCTGAGTTCTTCTCAAGGTTAGGTCTGAAGTGAAAGGGTAGGAAGGAAAACATTTATTCACTAGCTCAGGGAGATGAGGAGACTTCTTTCACTCTGCCTGGCCTCTTTAATGAATGGGAAAAACATTTCCCTTTGAAGACTAATCATGGGCTGGTTAAGACAGGTGGGTTTGAAATTCAAATTTACATAAACATGTGCACAATGAACCTCCAAATCAAGAACTGAGCAACAATAAGAATGAAAGTGACATGACTAGGATGCCTGGAAGAATTACTTTGGAAGGACATGTGCTCAACCCAAGAATTAGGATTCTCACATTTACAGCTCCTTGAAGATGAGCTCACAATCTAAAATTACAAGACACTCAAAGAAACAATCCATCACAAGCCCACCACCTGCAGGTAGATTACACTTCCAAGAATTTGATTTAAAACAAAAACAAAAACAAAAACCTAAAAAAGTACAGTTGATCCTTGAACAACATAGGGGTTAGGGGCACTGACACTACTCCCCTCCCCCATCCCATGTTGTGCAGCTGAAAAACCCACATACAACTTTGACTCCCCAAATATTTCACTACTAACAGTCCACGCTTGACTAATAGTCCACTCTAGACTGATAACATAAGTAGAGTAATACATATTTTCTATGTTATATATTATATACTATATTCTCACAATAAAGTAAGCTAAAAAAATGTTACTAAGAAAATCATAATGAAGAGAAAACACATTTACATTGCTGTACTGTAAAAAAATTCATGTAAAGTGGACATGTACAGTTCAAGCCTGTGTCATTCATGGGTCAAATGTCTACCCAAGATGACAAATACCATGAAAAAGGAACCGAATTTATAAGAGTAAAATAATATGAAAAAATAGGTAGATTTCTAGAATGTGTCCAGAGATAAGAATTGCAGTCTTTAAAATTAAATAGTGAATGGATGGGTTTAAAAAAAATGAAATCAGCAAAAATGAGAAAATTTAACTGGAATAGGGACTGAAGAAAATTACCAGAAGGAGGAACAAAGAGTTAAGAGGAGAGGAAACTGTGGGTTTAAGCAACATGGAGGATTAAAGGAAAAGGTCCAATACAGTTCTAATTGGTGTTTGGGAACGGGAAAATAGGGAATGCGGTATAGAGCCAACATTAAAAGAAATCATGCCTCAGAATTTCAACAGAATTAAAATTAAAGGGACTATCAGATCCAAAATAACTGTGACCCATGAGAAGGATAAATAAGAATAACTTCACATCTAAACACATCATCATCATAGTGAAATGGAAGAACTAAGACTATAAAGGCAATCAGGAAGAATGGAAAAATTCCATATAAGGAAATTAGGTTCCTTATCCCAAAGGAAATTAGGTTCCTTATCCTAATAAGGCAGTGAGATAATCACAGTGTTGAGAGGAGGAGCACAAAACCAAAAACTCTCTAATGTAGAATGCAATGTACAAAAATAATACTCAAGGCCAAGGTATACCTCTGCTTCCAGAAGCTGAGATGGAAGTACTTCTTCCCACTCAGTACAACCTAAGACACTAGACAGTATATATA